TCAGTGGCCTCCACCTGTAAAACCATTCCTGTTCTGATGGTCGTCTCGTTGTTGCCCCTCTAGGTCACCTGTTGTTCATTTTAGTTTAATTAACGTTTAATTTAATTAAAGTTTAATTAACTTGATGCTATACTCTGATTACAAAGTGTTACTTTAATTTTTTTGAGTAGTGTACATTCGGGCAAGTTGGCGTTTCTTGTTATTACATTGACATTCATTTTTACCATCAAAATATCCAATTTTTTTAAATATTACAAAGGTAATAAGGTGTTTTCCTGGATTTCAATAACACTATTGGTTTGGATTTCCCCTGAGTGCCCTATAACGGGTTAAGGTTCAATCCTTGACTTTGGTTTGGTCTTTTGTTCCAAAGTTCAGATGGATTCATCTTCTGTATTCTCAGGGCTTTTTCAAAACGTCGATGATGAAGCTAAATAACAAGGTTGGTCCACCACTGATTATTTATTTGGAATATTTAGGACTAAGAGGCTTTCCTCATGGTACTCACCAGGTACTGCATGGCTATGGATCTTCTAAGGGGTCCTGGGGGTCCGATGAGGAACACATCTTGGCCCAAAAGGTCCTTCTGCATGATCCAGCGGAGGTGCTGAGCCACGGCTTGTGGCAGCGAGTCTGAAACTAGTGAGTCAAAACCAGGGTAATGAGAGTCCTGACCACAGAGTCAAAGCTCGTTCACTTTCTGGGCGGTACCTACGATATTTGAGGGGAACTAGTTCCGGGTTCCGAGGGGTTTTGAGTTTGTAGGAGATGTCTCCGATGGTCACACTGTCACCTAGAAGGAGGAGGAGGAGAGGCTGAGTGCTGCTGCTCTAACAAAAAAAACAAAACTTTTGATGTCTGAGGATCAACAAAAAAAGAAAACATCATTTTTACGGTGAATCCCAAAAATGTTCACATCCCTGCTGCTGCTTCTATTCAACCAAGAAGTTGTTTTCTGACAATAAATTAAACCTCAACAATATAAAGGTAGGCAGCAGGACGCTATCTGAAATCATGAGCAGCTTTTCACTGCAAAAAATCTAAATCTGGATAAGTCATTTTTTCTTAAAATAAGTGCATTTGTTCTTGGATTGAGGAGGTAAAAGAGACATTTTACCAATAGAACAAGACAGTTTACACTTAAAATAACGAAAACACAATTGCATTGTCTTATTTCAAGAGTAAAATGACTTATTCCATTGGCAAACTACCTCATTTACCTGCTCAAATTAA